AGTTGTCCAAGAGGTTTGTGAAATTGGCAAAGTATAAAAATTTTTGTAAAAAGTTTAGGACTCAATTAGTACTTGAGATTGGTTTTCTCTTATGTCCTTTCTATTTGCTGGTACCCGGCACTTGTTTCTGTTTGTCGATCAATCGAAGCGAGCTTGCGATTCTCGAGTTTAATCAGGTCACATCACTTCTCATAAAACTTTGGGAATTGCTAAAAATTCTAACTAGGAAAATACTTGAGCCTGAACGCAAACTTGACAAAATGTTTTTCAGTCTTTTAGCTCTCTGCGTTTTTTAGAGTTTTGCTAGATCAGAACTAAGCTGGATTCAGATTCTAGCCTCAAAAACTACCGGAGAAAGTTTCCAGATAGATCGCCTTGTTCAAAACTCGCTTCACCATGAACGTGTTCAATCTTTAGACCTATCCAGAGCTTTTGCAATTCTACGAAAACCCGTATTTTTTCGGTTTTCAATCAACTCCACGATCGATTTTCATTTGGGGTGTCATCGTTCTATATGGCGCCTTTTTCACGGGCATTGGCGAGGGTCAGTACAGAGATTTATAGCTTTTTACAGAGAGAGAAAAATCCATCAAATCAATTCATTCCATGTTTACTGGATATTAAAAACTTTAGCTTTGGTTGTTCTAATTGCGCTCACTTTCCATCAACTCCGACATGTGATGAGTCCAAAAACCCTGAAATTACAATGGAAATTAGCTCGTGGGTTGTTCATACAGGTAGATTAAACGACGCAAAAATATTCAAGAACCATTTTCTAGTTTCTTGCATCGGCTGTAATGTTTCTCGTGCCGGGTACCTGGTTTGGACTTGTCTACTTGTCGGGAACGGTGATGGGGACTCGTGGGTGGACTTTGCACAATTGAAACTTTTCCATTGATTTAAAATTTGACTTCATAAGATCGCAAATACTCTAGTTGAAGAAAATTTTAGAAAACTCTCCTATTAGTCAAAATGTAGTATAGAAAATCGAAAATTGAAAACAATTTTTTCATGGGACAAAAGGAAAGGTCAACATTTAGCTTTCCTCATAACATTTCTTTTAGTTAAGCTTGAAGGAAAGTTTTTGTTGAATGAAACACCATTTCAGGCTACAACATCTTCCCGACAATGTTCATCGGAATGCATTCTGTGGCTAGCACAATTGTTCTGCTCACATGCTATGAAAACTATCGAAGATATGTGCTGAAGATATTTCTTCTCTTTGGCACTTCAATCCAAGCAATGGAAATGTCAACGAATTTCCGGATAAAACAAAGGGAATTAAAGAAACCATCTCATGATATGGCTTGGACAAAGAAATAAATTGAAAATTAAGTTGTAGAGCTAACAAACCAAGTTGTAAGCAAAGTTTTTTTTCGCTTTTTTTTCGCTACAAACCATTAGAATTTGAGTTTATTACTTTTGTATTAGCTTGATGCATAAGTCTTTTCATTCTTTTTTGTACTTCCGTTAAAAAATATCAAATTCACCAATTAACCTATAGTTTGCTCTAAATAAAAAGTGTTGATTGTTCAATTTCTCATTTTTAAAAGTCAATTTAGGTCCACTTTCAAGCAAATTCGAGAGTGAAAACGTGTTTTTTCGTAAAAATCTATAAAAGCCTCTACGAAGAAATTGGCTGAATGAATTTCTTTGAAAATTTGGCTATTTATCTAACCTTTATCGATTGACATGAAGATAGGTTTCCTTTAGCTAAAATGTCTAAACCGCATCATCGAGCCGTCGCCATTTTTGACTACCTAACTTCATGCTCCCAAAAAAAAATCCAGACACAAGACATTTTTAAACCCGTTTTAACGTTATTTTGCAGAAAAATAATTGACTTTTCTAGTGAAACAAATCGTAGTTCAATTGGTGCATTTGTTGGTTTTAAACGGAAGACGAAAAGAAACGAAAAGACTTATGCATCAACCTAATATGCTAAAAGATGAGAAATAAGATGAGCCTCATGGATATCGTCCAGTTGTCCTCGATAGTGCGGAGTTGCTGGAGATTGTCGAGTCGGATCCAATTCAAACTTTGCCCGAATTAGCCGAATACTTTAAATGTGATCCGAACACAATTTCTCAACACCTTTAGTTCATTGGAAAAAGGAATCGTTGTGGCCAATGGGTCCCACATGAATTTGCCCTGAAAACAAAGCCAATCGAGTTTTAATGTCTCGGATTCTATTGAAAAAGGCTACGGGTCGTGCTTTTTTTGAAAGCATGTTGACGATGGAAAAAAAGTGGACATATTTCAATAGTACAACACGCAAAAGACAATGGTTGAGCAAAGGAGAACGGCCGATTTCGACACCACATCCAGATCTTCACGGAAAGAAAGTGATACTGTCGGTCTTTTGGAGATATGAAAGGAATCGTTTATTTTGAATTACGAAAATCTTTAAAAACTATAACGTCTCAAATCTACGCCCAACAACTGAAGAAAGTTGATGAAATTCTACGAGAAAGAGGTGTTAATCCAAGGACAATCCATTTTCTCGCTGACAATGCCCGGGTACACACATCAAACTTGGCTCAAAACACCATAGAAGAATTAGGCTGGAAACTTGTGCCTCATCCGCCATATTCGCCTGATATTGCTCCCTCAAATTACCACTTGTTCCGGTCTATGCAACACTCTCTTGCAGATCAAAAGTTTAACAATCCTGAAAAAGTCGAAATTTGGGTGCAAGACTACTTTGCGTCGCGGGACCCCAAATTTTTCGAATCAGGCATCCGAAATCTACGCAAAAAATGGAAGAAAAAAGTTGATAATAATGGTGAATATCTTTTGGAATAAAGTTGTTTTCTTATTGATTTTTGGGTTCTTCGAATGTTGATTATAATCCGCAGTTTCTTTTGCAAGTACCTAATATTTTTGTCCTGTCAAAAAGTTCATTAAACGTATTGTGAGCTACGTAATAGCAAATGATCTCGATTTCTCTATTCATTGAAAAGATTCTCGTATCAAAATTGTGTTTTGTGTCCACTCAGAGATGGGTGCTCCTTGTTTTAAAGCTCTCCGGCAATACTCATGAATCAAATGCGGATACTTTGGTTCTCCTGCTGTCAACGTTTCCACTCCCATGGAAATCTATTTTAAAGTTTTTGATTATGATTGTGAAATCAGAATTGAATTGAATGAATTGCGCCAATCATGCATTTATGTCTTGTGCTCCGTGCGATATAAAGTTAAGTTTTTTCCATTTTATCGATGACTGTCATAGTTACTATGTTTTCTTATTGTCTTTATTTGGGAATTATTATTGTAAGAGTGTAAAAAACTATAAAGTGTCACAACAAGTAATATGTTGTGTGTCAACAAAGAACACTAGTCGGAACTTCTTGAAAAAAAAAGCAAAAGAAAAATCCGAACATCCGAAGTCTACACAAAAAATGGAAAAGCATAGTTGATAATAATGGCGAATATCTTGTGGAATAAAGTTGTTTTCTTATTGATTTTTGGGTTCTTCGAATGTTGGTTATAATCCGCATTTTCTTTTGCAAATACCTAATAATTTGAGCGTAGCTATTAGCAGTTTCATGTTCACTTTGTTGTGTAGTTCTAAACTATGTAGGGCTTTCTGGATGAAAAGGTTTAGTTCTACAGTTTCGTGAATTTCAAATCTCTAAATAAGCCATATGTGAATAGTATATGAGTATACTGTTGTTGTTTATTGTTGTCTTGATTTGGCTGCATTCTGGTTGGATGGTAAAGTCTTTATGAAGTCTTTATCCTGCACAAGAATAATAAAATTAACTAACATTGATTCAGAACAAGACAACTTCAGAAAGTCACACGAATGCTATTTGAGATCATTTTACAATTTGCTAGGAACTGTGTAAAGGGAAAATTGAGACAAACCGTAAATACGGTAATAGGACCCCAGTCGCGTAGTCGCAAAAGTTTTTTAGTATTTCATTTTTGCAAAGCTCCCGTACTTTCACAAAAGGCGCCTTTGGTATCAAAAATAGCCCTGAATTTCAGCTATTTATTTGATACCTAGGCGCGCATTGTAGCATGAACCAATGTCAAGAGAAACGGTTCAAAGTCAGACTACGCAACACTCCACGCCATCATTATGGGGGTGGGGTACTATTACAGTATTTACGGAGGAGCGTGGCTGTTAGAAAACAAGAAAAAAATTTCTGAGCTAGACTATGATCAGTTTTCTAAAAACCAAACACTTATAAATATTTGAAAACAACGAGAGAACTCGAGAAGAACGCACCAACAATGATCAGAACTCGTCGATTCTCACATCGAAGATAGGCGAGCATTCCAGGACTGTGCCTTGCAAGATCCATATTTGGTAACTCTGTGATCCACTTTGTGACCTCATTCTCGATTTGTGGGAATTGAGAGAAACGGGCACACACGCTTCTTTATGTTGTTCTGGTTGAAAATGTCGAATCGAGCGTTCCTCCCCAGTTTGTGCCGAAATCCAAACAAGCAAATCGTCAAGTTCTGCCAAATGACGAACAATTGAGCTCAAATGTTCTCCGACAAACTCTATTCGACTTTTATTTTGTACAAGAAGTTGAGTATATGATCCATATAACATTACTGTTGATATTCGACCATTGAATGTTGGTGGCCTGGACCAGAGATTGGTCATCGACTCCAATAAGGGACATTTATTTTCAAGACATTTAAAGGCATAGAAATTTCCTTGAGTAGCCGAGAAAACGGAATAATTTGTGAAGAGATTTTCAAATATAAAGCATTTAGTGGCTTTCAATTCTTCTCGTTTGAATAGAGCTTCAAGAGTTAGTGAATCTGTTTGATTTCCTCTTAGGGAAAATCCAAGGTCAACTGAAGGAAACCAATGATCGAATAGAAGCTGATTAGCACCAATAAGTGATCCATCATTTGTGAGTTGAAAATTTCGGACAAGTCGCACTTTTTCTAGTATCCTGTTCTTTTTACAAAGCCAAATAAAACGCTGAAAATCGTTTTTTTTCGATTGATCAAGATCAATACTAAGATCACGGCAAGAGCGAATTGTTGCCAAGATTTTCAACGGAAAATTGAGAATTTTTGTTGTGTTTAGCCCATCCATATTTAGTTCGAGAACTTCTCTACTTTGCAGCTCCAAAGAGAAAAGCCATTGCTCTGGATGATCGCAAGTTGGCCGGAACTTGGTCCAACTCCTTTTTCGATCTTCCAGCTCTAGATCGTTAAGAAAAAAAGAAGCTGAAGTCGAAAATCGGAGCTGGAGTCGAAGAATATATTTTGGGAAAAGCCCATGAATCAAATAATATTTTCTCAAACTTTTAGTGGTTTGAAATAGTTTTTGAGATACATCAGTGGTAGTATGCTCGAGAACTGAGACTTTCAGCTCATTTGGTAGCGTATTTAGGGAAAACATTGATCGATTGAGACGATCTGGGGTGAAGGGACGATTTGGGGTGAAGGGTGAAGAGACTTCGAAAAGGCGCCAATTTGCTTAAGCACAGAAATTGTGTGTAAAGAGGAGCGTGGGGGCACATTTGAGGACTTTGGAAAAACATAAGCAGTCAGTTCAAGAGAAAACATTCAAATTAGGAAAGTCGAGTTAGGAAGGGAAGTAAATATTCATTTATGAAACTAGTAATATGTCTCGTATTCTCCAAAATAGTAGTGCGTACTACTATTCCCTTAAAACCCCTTAAAATTGATCGGCCAAAAAAAAGTAGGTAAGAGACACATAAATCAAAAATCAAAATTTGTTAAAAACTATTTTAAATTATATGGCTGGGATACTTTTGTGTTATCTCGGGGGGGGCAGGCCCGTACCCTGGAGGGACAAGGGAGGCATTTGCCCCCCCACATCCGCGTGAAATGGTGTTCTCTATCAGAATTTCACGTTTGAATATCCATTCGACGCAGAAAATTGTGCTGAATCGAATGGTGAAGAAATTATCGAAATCCGTCTGACTCGATTTTTTTAAAACGCCTTTTATCGAAAAAACCGCACTTTTACCATAAACTCGTTCGCCGCGACCAACTTTTGGTGGCTCGTTCTCAGCGTGGTCGAAAGATTGCGCCCTCAAAACCAATAACTTTTGTGTGGACGTGTGCAAAGATCATTTTGATACCAAAAAAATAAAAATTGATTAACTCTGCGAAGACTTGATACCTTTTTAAGTTGCCATTTTCAGCCATTTTCAACTTCAAAATTCTGATAGAGAACGTTTTTTTGCCTTATTTCGCGCGGATGTGCCCCCCCGTATTAAAGAGAATACGGTAAACCCAAAACGCCAAAGTTGTATGACGAGAATCACTTCATTTGGCCTTTTGAGGTGAAAATATTGGAAACTTGAATCAATTGA